TGGCAGGAAGGACAAGATTGCTTGGGCAGCGGGATGTGCTGGGCTGGCACCTGGGGGATGCTGACTCAGGGAGGGGCAGGGGCCTCACAGCCCTGGTGTCAGCAGCAGCAGCAGCAGGGAGTGTCCCCTGTCCAGATTGGCCCAGCTGGAGCTGAGCAATGCTGGGGCTGCTATAAAAGCCCTGCCTGGGCCAGACTGGACCAAGCACTGCCCTGGCCACCTTCTCCTCGGGAACAAGGGTAAGTGTGCGAGAGCTTCTGCTCATGGCTCCCTCCTCCAGCCCTGGCCCCTGTGGCTCAGGTGCTGCCCTGGGCTGCTCTCCTGCCATGGCTGCCCTCTCTTGCAGAGCACCCTCGGATCCCACACCAAGATGTCCTGCTACGACCTGTGTCCCCCGAAAACCAGCGCAGACCTGTGCCCCCCCAGAACCAGCGTGGCTGTGCCCCAGCCCATCGCTGAGAGCTGCAACGAGCTGTGCGCCCGCCAGTGCCCCGACTCCTCTGCCTTCATCCAGCCACCACCCGTGGTGGTCACCTTCCCCGGCCCCATCCTCAGCTCCTTCCCCCAGCAGGCCGTGGTGGGCTCCTCCGGAGCACCGGCCTTCGGTGGCTCCCTGGGGCTGGGCGGCCTCTACGGCGCCGGCGCCACCCAGGCCTCGGGGGGCCTCTGCACCTTTGGCAGAGCCTACGCTGCTCCCGCCTGCAGCCCTTGCGTCCTGCCCCGCTACAGCAAGAAGCTCTGGGACACCTGCGGGCCCTGCTAGAGCCAACACCAACAGTCCCAAACCCTGGTGACTGCCTCAGCCCAGCATGGAGAAGTTGAGCTCTGCACAAGCTGCCCTGGCCTCCTGCAACCCATGACACCCGGCCTGCCTGGTCCCTGCCCACCATCCCTCTCCCTGCCTCTCCTGCCCTTCTTGGTACAATAAAGTTTTCCTGCATCTAATTCCTGTTTCCTTGCTTCCTTTGCCCAAACTAGGAAATTCCTGGGGATGGGGATATTGCATGAGTGGGAGAGGAAATTGTGTTCGGTGATGTTCGGGGCAATGGAAAACAGAAGTGGAAGCAGATGGTGAAAAGAGAAAGAGAAAGAGAAAGAGAAAGAGAGAACGAGAGACGAGGATCTGCTTTAAGGGAAATTTAACATATCGGGCATAGTGATGGGCAAGTTTCTTTCTTATTTCTGTCCCTGGTCCTTTATCAGAGAGAAAGAGAAAGAGAAAGAGAAAGAGAAAGAGAGAAAGAGAGAACGAGAGACGAGGACCTGCTTTAAGGGAAATTTAATGTATCAGGCATAGTGATGGGCAAGTTTCTCTCATATTTCTGTCCCTGGTCCTTTATTGCAGCCAAGGTTGATACAGAGGGGCTGGAGCTCTGACAGCCTTTGCCCTTGGATGGCTCCCAGATCTGGGGACATTCCTACACAATACCAGCAGGTTTGCAGATCTGAAAAGTCCCTTGGTATCATGGCCTGCAAGCAACGATCTGCTGTCTTCAGGCAGAGTCCTTGCAGCTCCTTGTCCTTCTCCTTGTCCTCGTCCTTCTCCTTCTCCTTCTCCTTCTCCTTCTCCTTCTCCTTCTCCTTCTCCTTCTCCTTCTGCTTCTTCTTGTCCTTCTTATTCTCCTTGTATGAAACGTTCCCACTTCTCTCCTTTATATCCATCCACTTCCACTCAGATGCGATTTCCTTCTCCACTTTAACATCCAAAGTAACATTCCTAATTCTATTTTACCACGGATTTCCCCTTCCGTTTTCCAGCAACACCATTTCCCCTCACACACCCAGAATTCCCCAATCCCCAAGGGTGTTCATGACTTGGGAAAACAAGGCAAACAGACAGGAGTCAGATGCAGGAAAACTTTATTGCACCAAGAAGGGCAGGAGAGGCAATCCAATGTAACATTCCCAATTCTATTTTTCTGTGGCTTTCCCATTCCATTTTCCATTTTCCCAGTGACATCACTTCCCCTCACACTCCCTGAATTCCCCATCCCCAAGGGTGTTCATGACTTGGGAACAGAAGGCAAAAAGAGAGAAGGTGGATGCAAGAAAATTTTATTGAGCCCCAAAGGGCAGGAAAGGCCAGGAAAGGGACGGCTGGCCGGGTGTCACGGGCTGCAGGAGGTCAGGGCAGCTTGTGCAGAGCTCAACTCCTCCATGCTGGGCTGAGGCAGTCACCAGGGTTTGGGACTGTTGGTGTTGGCTCTAGCAGGGCCCGCAGGTGTCCCAGAGCTTCTTGCTGTAGCGGGGCAGGACGCAAGGGCTGCAGGCGGGAGCAGCGTAGGCTCTGCCAAAGGTGCAGAGGCCCCCCGAGGCCTGGGTGGCGCCGGCGCCGTAGAGGCCGCCCAGCCCCAGGGAGCCAGCGAAGGCCGGTGCTCCGGAGGAGCCTACCACGGCCTGCTGGGGGAAGGAGCTGAGGATGGGGCCGGGGAAGGTGACCACCACGGGTGGTGGCTGGATGAAGGCAGAGGAGTCGGGGCACTGGCGGGCGCACAGCTCGTTGCAGCTCTCAGCGATGGGCTGGGGCACAGCCACGCTGGTTCTGGGGGGGCACAGGTCTGCGCTGGTTTTCGGGGGGCACAGGTCGTAGCAGGACATCTTGGCGTGGGATCCGAGGGTGCTCTGCAAGAGAGGGCAGCCATGGCAGGAGAGCAGCCCAAGGCAGCACCTGAGACACAGGGGCCAGGGCTAGAGAAGGGAGCCGCGAGCAGAAGTGCTCACACACTTACCCTTGTTCCCGAGGAGGAGAAGGTGGCCAGGGCAGTGCTTGGTCCAGTCTGGCCCAGGCAGGGCTTTTATAGCAGCCCCAGCATTGCTCAGCTCCAGCTGGGCCAATCTGGACAGGGGACACTCCCTGCTGCTGCTGCTGCTGCTGACACCAGGACTGTGCGGCCCCTGCCCCTCCCTGAGCCAGCATCCCCCAGGTGCCAGCCCTGCACATCCTGCTACCCAAGCCATCTTGTCCTTCCTGCCACGTCAGAT